TTTAAACATCAAAGCACAGCACATTTTTCGTCTGCTTTCCTCAGGTTTCTCTCTCTCTCTCTCTCTCTCTCTGCTGTAGGACATGCAGTTTTCTTTCAAATCCCTGCAGAGTGCATAATGTGCACATCCAAACCCATTGACTATCATTGTATGTGAGCTCAGAGTATTTACAGTATGTCAAACCTGGACATGATGGGTTTTTTTTAACCTTTTCATAAAACACTGCCGGCTCTCAAAAGTTTACTTATGTGTTAGCCAGAAACTACTGACAATTATGATTAAAAAATATCCTAAAAAAGATTTATAGCTTTTGCGCCATGTTATTTGTTTGAGATTTAACGTCTGGTCTGGGTTTCTGTCTGCGAGACACAGGCATGTGTTTACCATGGTGACTCTAATGAACCGCTGGCAGCAGCTTTGACAAAACATAGATATTTTATTAGCTTATATTATTACATTCTTTAGTCCCAAATCACTGCTGAGTTTTTTAAAAGAAAGTTGCTTGTTGTTGTAGCTTCATTAGCCTCCTTCATATTTCCTTCAGACATTTTTGACTTTATTATTACCGGCTTCTGCTTTGTTTTACTTATACACAAAAGACTAACAAAACAGAGAACTGCTCCCAAGAAAACGGCTTCCCACTGCTGCCGGTATCCCAGAAACAACATGCAGCAGACAAATGAAGAAAAACACTGACCCTTAATTACAACAGCTAATTAAAACTTCAACTTATGAATGGTTTTAATGAAGGCGGGAATGGATTTGGTTCCCTCCTGCTATCTTTTGCTCTCCCTCTGTTTTCTCCTCCACCTCCTTTCATTTAATCTCCCCTCCTTCCTTTGTCTCATAGTAAAAACACGAACTCTAATGGATCCGCCGGCACCATCTTAACTTCCTTCAGCTCATCGCCACTCCCACTTTGACGAGTTTGCCGCACCAGCAGACATCTTGCACATTAACGTATGATTGTTCCCCATGTATTATTTGTGCGTGAAGGGACTAAAAAGAGCGAATAAGAGGAGTGGCGGAGGGGAGGGAATCCCAGAGCAACCTGTCAGCTGAAAAGGGAAGAGTGGGGAGACGAAGCGGAGTGTCACATCGTTCATGTGGAAGAAGTGCAAGGCTAGATGGTCTTTATGGGCTGTGCTGCTGAGGAGGGGGGGAGGTCAGAAAATCAGGTCAAGGGGACAGAATAGCCTATATGACTCAAACTTTTTTTCTGGCTTTGCAATCAAAATGTCCTTAAAAGCTTGTTGATGAGTTTGTGTTTTTATCTTACACATCGTACAGATGAAACAAACATTTTTCTTCTTTTTTTAATTACCGTATTTATTCAAGTATGATACGTAAAATTAAATCCATAAAATCATCCATAAAGTTGGGGGGTAGTACTATACTTGGACAAATATTTTTACTTATGTATTTTAACTGAAATATCGGCTTCATTCACAAAATGCCTGAGTCCGGAAATGAGACCGCGTCGTAAAAAGCAGTTGAAACGAGCTTACCTCTGACACTCCTTCATTCTTCAGAGTGGGATAATAACAGATCCAGGCAGGCAACATGATGTGAAAAAAGTGTGGGGG